CAAGAAGAAGTTAAAAAGGGGGATTTGGCTGTACTGCTGAATCTGGTTGCAAAGGGGAGAGAAAGACGGCAAGTTGATGGCATAGCGGGGCTTTCGGTTCAACAGCTATGCCAACATCTTGCCTTCCTTCGGGGCCCAGCACGGTTCTGGTGGCTGGGACGGTCCAGTCCTGCCCTCAGGTCCAACTTCGTCTCCATTGCGATTTAGTTGTTGTCAAAGTCGGTGGAAAAAAAGTTCTATATTAAGAAAAAATAGTGCTGAAATAATCTTCAGCACAAGGGGCTCTCGATGATAAGAAAGAAGATTACAGGAGAGAAGTCAGGGCTGCTGCCTTTAAGATGCACGCCTTTACGTGGACCGGTTTTAGGATTGTATCTACCTGTTGCTGCGAGTGAGAAAAGAATGTCCAAATCTCCCTGCAGCTGTCAGTTTAGATCCTCATGGCTCATGGTGGCAGATCAGACTGCCTTCTGCTTCCGATCCAGAGGTAAACCGTCTCGCTCTTTGCTGCGGAGTAGGTGTGTTTTCTAGGCTTGGCGTGGCTTCCGGTACCTTTGGGCTATTACGAGGAATCGCATTGACCTCATTAAGGAGGAGGACCACCTTCAGAGGGATCCCTGAGAAAAAATGAATCCGCCCAAACCTGTCAGGAACTAAATATCCCCAGGGTCCCCCCAAAATACTTCTGCCTGTTTAGGTAATTCTAAAGCAAATGATCATTTCTAAACAAGAAGCAAAACAAGAAAGACAAACGTGATGCAGAATGAGAGCCAACGTATAGTTGGAGAATGAGAGTCGCATCATCAGAGATCTGACTTTCTAAGATAAACTAAATCAGGGTTAGGGGATCTGCTTCATTGATGAATCATCCAGCATGAGTCAAAGATCGTCTAGACCAGAAAGTTCTGACCATCCAGAGCAGTAAACCGCTTCAATGTGTGAGGAAAGGTTCTGACCACTCACAGCTTGCCGCAGCTACATCATTAAATCATGCGTGTCTTGTTCTGCTGTGCTCTAATTTTTTTCTTTGAAACATCTGTTTTACTTCACTTTAAGTAGAAATCACATATTCAGGTTATAGAACTGTTCAAAGCCACAAAATTCCACTCAGATTTGTACATGTCCAGGTCCATCACACATCAATTTTACAGCAATTTAGTTTAAGATTGATTTATGCATTTCCAGTAAAAGGAAACCGTTCTTTTTAAATGTTTGTGTCAGATTGTTTTTCTTTCCCTCCCTTGTGCTGTTCTGTGACTTGGAACACTTCTTCCTGACCAGATTGTGGTGTGCTTGCTGTGGCACACCTTTTGAGGTAAAATCTGCTATTTTGCATTGGTGGACCAGAACTTAAAATGTCCTCCTTTTGTTTTTCTCATGATTCATTGTAGATTTCTTATCTCACCTTCCGCAAGGTCCAACTCACAGGGTGGGCTGCAATTCCATTAAAATTAACCTCAACCAGCTCCCGCAGGTATAACTATATATTCTTAAAAACATAGGACAATGGAGTACAGACAGCAACTCTCTCCTTATGATTTGCTCTTCATGTACCATGTTACATTCTATTGAATACTGGGTGCTGGTAGTCCACCTAAAAAACATCCAGCATTATTAGTCCTTTTGTTTCAGTTACATCGACTCTAAACACGGTTAACTGTTCACCTCCCAAAGATCCAACAGTGATGCCAATTTTGATGGAATTTTTCCATCAGTGACTCACATTTGAAAGTACGGATTTTGGCCACACCTGTAAACTCCCAAAGAGCAATAAAAACGTATAAATCAGTCAGTCACAGGACCTGAGTTTATGTTTCCATGGTGTAAATTAAGAATTTGTTTATCACGGCAACAGAGTTGTGACTTGGGTTGCTATTGAAGTAAAGAACTCAACACATTACCATGACTGCTTTTACCCTCCAATAGATAGCATAACATGAGTTTGTCATTTGGGAATTATTACATGTACACAAAACAATATACCTAGGAAAAAACACCAGTCACCATGAATCCAGCAGTGCATTACAGATCCCAAACAAAAGCATACAGGCACTCAATATAGAATAGGTTAACTAATCTGATGACACAAGGAACATGCTTGAATCACAAATCGAAAAGAGATATATTTTTGACAATTATCATCACTAATCTCTGTGAACATGTAAGAAAATACATTGTTTTTGTGTTAAAATTACAACCAAAGGGTAATTCTGTAGAAGACGTGTTTAAATGTGTCATAATTGTAAACTTAACTGCTCATTTTGGTGATGATCTATTGCCGATTTAGAATATCCAAAATAACTTTTTGTCCTTACAGATTATGATGTACATCATTCTTGGTAGAATAATTTATGCAACAAGCAAGGACCCATGTTAAGAACATGGCATGAAGCTGCTTTGTTTGTTCACAGATGGACCTCAACAAGGAGGCACATAACCCACAAAGCTCTGTTGCTCCATAACTTCCTTATTTGGTGTTCTCCACATTGTGTGATCACAAATGTTACAATGACATGTCAGATCATATCAGTTTGTATGGTTACCATTATGCATCTGTGTCCCTGTGTAGCAAAAGCAGGACCCTCTCTGAGACATGTCTCAAGCTGAATCACAGCACCATGTGTGCAGCCGCTCTAAGTCAAACAAACACCAGCCCAGTTATGAGTAATCATTTGGTCCATCAAGGACTTTTCTTGAAAGTAATAAAAGTCCCCCCACCCACCCTCCCCCGAAAAGAGAAACAGCAAAAAGGCAAATTCCAGTGGGACCTCGCCCCTTTTTCAAACCCCCCCCCCCCCATAAAATCGCACTGCAGCCAAATTCTGACTCTGGCTTGCCGGTCTAGGGCCATTCTTGTGACAGGATCAAACAAGTATGCAGAACCTGACCGGCTGCTTCCTCTGAGAGTGACTTTGCTGACTTAAATGTGAAGGACACACTGCAGCAGAAAGCGGATGAAGTCACAGGGAAATGTCTGCTCCTTTGTAAGCAGACTTGCGGAACAAGCTGCCATCGTGCTTCAAGCCAAAGAGTGTATTAACAGTTTGAAAATCATCTAAAAGGGGGGCTGGTCATAACTGGGAACCGGAAAGGGGAAATCCCCACCGACTTAAAAAGTTTCGATGGCTCAGAAATTTCAGAAGAATTTTGGTTTGGATTCAGCTTGTAGATTTGGCAGCAAGTCATTTCCAACACTGTTTGTGTAA